CCGATCGGTAAAAACTGATGATAAGGACGATTGGCTCAAGAGGTGCTTTTTAAAAAGAAGTCAATCTATGCTCAAAAAATCATTGATGGATATGAATAAAAATTAAATCCTCTCTGACAGACAAAACATATGATATCAAGTGTGAGCCATTTGGTAGTTATATTAATATGTTATATTAATCCAGTTGATACATCTGAAAAATTTAAGAATTCGAATTGTCGATAATGTGCAACTCATAATTATATATCTAGCAGAAATAGTTATTTAAATATAAAGACTCAAATTTCAAGTAGCATCAAACATGATGTGTGTTTTAAATTGCAGAATATCAAATGAGTTACACATTCTGAACAGAAGAATCCCTAGGAGTAAAGTCAGTGAGACACCTCAAACAGACTTGATATTTTTATAATATCCATAATATTGCAACACCTTTAAGTAAATAGCCTAAAAATGTGTGCTCTAGAATGATTTATGAGCATATTTCATTATGAAGTATTAACAGATGTTACTTTGTTAACCATATTCTTCATGGTTTTTATCTCATTCTATACGTATAAAATTTAAAACAAACCATAGATCTAGTAAATAAAATATTTTGTGAACATCATTTTATTTTATACTTACAAGATTGTATTCTTATAGAAAGAAGAATCCAATGACATTGTAACATCTGAACACCTAAGTTTGGAGCAGGAATGCCAACTAGCCCAAAAAATTCAATATCAGAAGCAACTTGAGGTACAACGTCAGACAATTCAACAAAAAATGGTTACCCTAAAGCAGAATTTTAATAAATTGCTGCAGAAAGATGAGAATTCTCCAGTTTATTTCAGAGTAGAAAAACAGGTATAGGTATATTTTTATTGAACCAATTGTTATGTCCATGCCTAGTTTTATCTTGATTTTGATGAACTTATATAAAATAAGTAACACATTCTTTAAAATTACATGCATGTCATTAAATTTTAGGTTATAAGTTTAAGTTTACAGTAATGGAAGTTTCTGTTGAATTATTCATTGTTTTGTGATGTATGTGTATGTAGACATATTCAGCATTGAAAGTGTGTGTATATAATTATAATTATTTTTCAGTAGAGATGTAAATGTAATATAGTTAGATTTTTTAATATAAAATAAAATACCAGGTTATATTTTATTTAAAATTAGAATATAACATATAACATCTACATGTACAAGATAAGTACCAAACTCCATATTATAGTTATGTACTTAGAATAGGGTGAATCTTAATTTAGGAAATATGGATGTGAATGGCATATTATGATTAGATATATCATACCAGGCACATACCACAACCATCATAGGTCCATTGGACCATAAGCTTAAAAATTCATAGGCTTAATATCCATATCAGTATAAGAGTTGCAGCAAACATATTTCACTGACTTGATGAGTGAAGGAGTTGTTGATGAGAGCATGACAGTCACAAGTAATGTACAGGCCATGCAAGATGTACCAAAGAACAGTTTAGCAAATGAGAAGTAAAAATATTTTAAGCTATTTTATCTAACTCGGCTATTTCAGTTTTAATCTGTAAACCTTTATATGCCCATAATCTAGTATTGTACCTATGCTAAATGTATTTCACTAATTATGTAATATGAACTTAATTATGAAAACACTTTAATTGTTTATAAATAATAATTTTGACCTTTAAGCTCAATTTCTATTAGAAAACTGATGAATAAAATTTGCAAAGAAATATAATTTTCATAACAAGACAACACATGTCAGTGTGACAGGAATCCTATCTTGCCATTTACATAGAAGACATGTAAGTCTAAGTGAACAAGAAAATAGTGCAATAACAAGGAAGATAAGCAAGCTGTAAACACAAAATAATATTGTGGCTTACATATAATTAGCAGTTTTAATAATATTTAAAAACATTACTGTAATTATGTTACTCTTGACATTGCAAAAATAAAATACTTATGGTATATGTGGCTGAAGAATTTGAACTTTTAATATAAGGAAGTAGATTAAAAATTTCATTTCTGATTTTTAATATGTTTTCAGAAATATGCTGTTGATCCAAAGATACGTGAAGCTCTGAAACTTGAAAGAGATAGAAATAAAGAATGTGTGAAGATGCAGTTTACCTGGGAAAAGGAAAAACAAGCTATTGCGCTTCAAAAGTTGGAAAAGTGGTAGATATATATATATATATATACAAGTTCTATTGGAACTTTGCTTTTACAAGAGGTGCATTAGATTAGTATTACATTTATTGAGAGTTTACTTGTGACTTAATTTAAATCAAAGCACCAGAAGTTAACATTGCTTGTTTTAATAAACTAACAAACTTCCAGCTATATAAGCAACAAAACTGTTTCAAAAAAATCTATAATGCTGTATTTGTATTTTTAAATACTTATTGTTTTTATTGACTGATATTTTTTTAGTCCTCCGGTGTGACAGTGATAAGTTTACAGACTTACAATACTAAAATCTGGGGTTCAATTCCCTGAGGTAGAAACAGCATATAGTCCAAATTGACTGAGGAAAAAAAGTAAATGAACTTAAGAAATATAAGAATTACTTTAAATAATCAATTTTAGGTTAATTTGTGTTTTGTTTTGGACATTGTTAAATCTGATGTTGATAAATGAGATTTTTCTTTTGAAGCTTCAAAAAATCGAAATATCTAGGCTACAAACATTAAATAAATACAAGAATGATTATACATGCACTTACAGCCTCAGGAAATTCCAGAAAGTTTGCCTTTAAAGCATGAATGCTATTTACAAACTGAAAATGAACTATGAGATACATTTTTCACTACAGGTTTAGTGTATTGAGTAATAAGTAATTTGTAGTATTATTGGTATATATTTTTCATGCTATTCATAAAATGTTAAAATGAGTAAAATAGTATCACATGCCAATTATTCTTGTTCATTGAAAGCCAGAAAAATATTAATTAGTATGGTTGACTTTGAGTAAATTGTACTAACAAGATGTACATGATAGTCAAAATATTTTGGTTAAAAATGCTTCTAAGAATTTAATTTACTTTGATTTGCAGATCCATTGTCAGGTTGGAAACTGACCTATCAAAGTTTCTTTAAAATAATGCTTAAATTTGGGTTTAATTTGTTGAGCATTGGAAAATAATATGTGTAATTTCTCTTTGTTTTGTTTTTATGAAATTTCTTATAAAAAAGTTGAATTTAAGTTTCCATTAACTCCCTAGAAAGTACTTATAATGGAACTTAAGAGATGCAATGAAAAAGTTTTAAACTTATTTGTAGTAATTATCAATTTCTCTTTTATAAAATTTTATTTTCCTAGAACAAATTCAGAAAAATGAAATGGAAGAAACTGAAGATGTTCTCTCTATCCCATATAAACCAAGCCCAATACTATGTGCATGGGCTTCTAACCAACCTTCAAAAGTTTGGGTATCTTTGGTAAGTTTGTATTACAACACATGATCAAATGAGATATACTCGTTAGACCTGTACCATGTGCAATTAACAGTGATAGAATAAGATGCAGTGAACTTTATAATAATAAACCTTTGGTAATATTTATAAATCTACAGTACGTCAACACAAACCATAATACATACATATATCTTTAATGTTTTTCTACAAATGTTTACATTGGAAAATAAGTAGAAAAACGGTATTTAATTAACAAAAAAAGTGATAATATTATGTTGTTAATATCTATAAATCACACGGATTTTTTCACTCACGTTTGTTTAAGACTTTAAACAGTTTTGATTGGATTGATTTAAGAATTAATGATTTATGGGGCACGTTTCTAAAAACAGTGTGACTATATTGAATTACAGAAACTTTTATAGTTACTTCTACTGATGAATGTTTTAGTAATTGTACAATACATAGAAAATTATACTACATCAATGTATTCATCAAGATGAGGGTAAGTTTGAAAAAAAAAGTACCATCCAAAAAGTTGCTAACAAAAATTTTTGTTTACACGCATTACTCTTATACACAACAAAAACTACAACTAACCCAATTCTACAGATAAGTCAAAATTATATAATTTTAGGAACATTATGCCTCTGACTAAAATAGCTGGTTAAAAAATTATACTGATCTTTGACATTCTAGTCATTCAATATATATATATATATATTGCAAGGGGACTGTATTTTGTAAATCAATTCTAGACACATCTATAAAAAGCTGTACCTGTACTCACCATAATTTCATATGCAGGCAATACTAATGAAACTTGTTGTATTGATACCAGTTGTAATTTATGTGTTGAATATTTCTGTTTTATGATATTATTGTTCTTTCTCAGTGTGAAAACATTAGCATTAGCACATGACGATGCTTATTTCCAGTACATTTATTATGCTACTGACTTCATAATAAATAAAAAAAATAAACTATAAGAGTGTTTCAGTATCAAAGCCAACATTCCTTACCTGTGACCTAATATGTAGGAGTTACCACAAAAAAAACTTAAGGAGACAGGACTAGTATAAGTTTGCAAAATTTGGTAATAAAAGAAATAAAAAGCTAGTTTTTAGGTTGTATAGACATCTATGTAATGGATATAATTAGAACTTGAAAGTTTATTTAAATTTATAGTTTTTGAAATTCATTATAGATAAACAGTAATCAGTTAATAATGAAGGTTATTAAAAAGTATCAATAGACAAAAAATTTTAAATCTATAATTCTGAATTTACTGTTACTAGCAAACAGAAATCACTTGAGAATCAGTTAAACCAGATAACAAGAAAACAAACCATACTCTGAACTTTATATAAAAATCAAATCCTTTATCACCAAGACTGTATATTAGTGAATATTCTCACAGTTTGATGCTATGAAACAGAAACTTTGGCTTGGTTAAGAATTTATAATATATAAGATATAGTTATTTAATTATCCAATAACATTCAGATTAACTAGCCATTAACAAGGGAAATAAAAGTTAACTTATTTGTAAGAGATTCAAATATCACATATTTCACTCTTCTATAGCATGTATTCCATAGCATATAATAAACCTTCATTGTTTCTAAAGTATTAAATGAGAACATGCTAAGTCCAGTCAAGATTATGTTTCTTTCTGTGGCAAGACTTGATAACAGAAAGTATTTACCATTTCCTGAGATAATTATTTTGTATCCTACATTACCCTGAGTATATTGGACCATTTTGCAACAACTGTCACTTGGAGCAGAGTTGTTACATCTGGATACTTGTTATTTAGTTTTGTGGTTGATCAAAGAGAATGTGGAATGTAACCAAACAGTTTTGTAATTTTTGAACCATCTTACTTTTTAGGAGACAAAAACCAGTTTGTGAAATTATGTGATCATTTTATAAATGTTCCCAATTCACACTGTTTCTGGTGTGTTTCATTTCACCTACAACAAGTAACTACACTTCCACACACTAGATTGATAAACCTCTTATTGTTCTGAAGATCAAGAAACTATATACTATGTTTATATTATATTTTTCATATTTTATGTTGTAATTGATTTGGGTTGTACAATATGCAGATTTTGTTTGTTTAATTTGGCATCCAACATAGACTAGAAAGAGAGAGCAAACCTATACAACTGATTTTTTTGAAGGTATTTTAGTTAATAATTAAAACTTTTAAAATAAATTTTCTTATATTTTATTTTCAAGAGAACAGTGCAATACATAATGAAGTAGAACATTTGCCTTTGAAGGCTGCTATCTAAAAAGAGATATATCCCTAGCCACTTACACAGTAATTGATAAATTAAATTTTTACAGGATGGCTTTGATGCTGGATATTTATATGAGTTACAAATTCCAGAGGACAACAGTAACTGTGTAGAGTTAGAACCAGTTTATGCTGCCCCTGTTCATGCTTGTCAAGACAAGTCAGTGTGGTCTGCAATAACAAGGTGAGATTCTTTTAATAGATTTATTTGTGTGATTCATCCACCTGGTGTCTGATTAATACCAATATGATTATTGAAATGTGTCTTGATGGTAAAGAACACTGTTGATTTTCTTCTTAATTACCTAATACTGGGTCTGTTTAGTTCTTGTTTCTTAAAATGCAGCATATATTGTCCCTAACAGTTATTGAAATCTCGTTCATGTATTTTTCTCAGCAATTTCTATTTATAGAAATGGTGTTTGAGATCAATAAACTTGTCTCTTTTTTTTTAATGCCTGTGGTGTAGTAAATATATACTTAGATGTGAGAAATATTATTCAACAGCAGTTAGGCTAAAATAAATGATTGATTAGTTAGCGAAATGATTTAAATTCCTTTGTTTTTGCAGGACTTCAAAAATGCGCAGAATAAAATAAATGTTCTTAATTATCCATTGATTTTGACTTTTGAATTCCCTATCTAAATTTTTAATTTGTAACCATTGATTTGTTTTCTTTTTCATAGTACTGATAGTCATTATCTTTTATTGGGACAAGAAGATGGTGTATTGACTGTTTATAAATTGAATGAACCAGGAAACCTTAAATCCTTGGGAAATGTCTGGTCAAAAAGACTTCATGATTGTCAGTTTGGAGCCATTAGCCACATTAGCACAAGTTGTTGTGGCAGGTGAGTATTATAATCAGTAGATAACAGTTTGCACGAATTATAGAAAATTGAAGAAGTGAAAGAATCTCTGGAAAATTTGTGAACCAGCTTTTAGACAATTTATGTTAAATCTGAAATTATACATACATGTAAATTATGTACAGAATAAAACACAGAGACTTCCACAGGGAACTAAATACTCTTATTTTTAGTAACGGCATTCTGTTACAAAATTTTATATGTACATATCTATGATGTTTTGGAAGATATTTTGTGCATGGGTACTCTACATCATTTAGAAACAATCAAGGAGATACGACAATATCACACTTTCAAGTATATATATCACAAGGAGCAGAGATACTTTTCAACTCTTGTTACCCAATTTGTGATTGGTTAACTAAAGAGAGAATGTGATTTGTGAGTGTAGTTTTGGCACTTTCAGAGAGATTCATCCCAACTTTGAGTGAGCGAAGACTGGTCTGTGCTGTGTTGCATCTTCAAATGTTATACATTTTTTGCCAATTAACTTTATATTCTATTTTCATCTTGTCTATTAATGAGAATATAATGTTCTTGTTTTTTGGTTTTCTTTTGAAGGCTAATCTCATCTCCTTCATTT